CTATTAGTAACAAATGCAAACTTTTTGTTTAACAATCGAGAACATAGATACCAATGGTTCCACGACAAGGGTTTAAGGGAAAGCTAGGCTAAAAACACACAGGCTCCATACAGACCATACAGGTTTTTCCGGTTTCAAGATGGCGCTCACGAGGAAGTGCAAAATATTTCTGCTTTGGTGGTACAAAAGAAAAGCCCTAGCATTCAAACGACGTCACTGGATTCACCCAATTTATAAAGACCGGGGAGCATTTGGAGAATTCAAATTGTTGTCCCAAATATTTGCTGATGTTGAGAAATGTTTGGAATATTTTCTAATGACACCAACAACATTTCAATCCTTGCTTGGGTTATGTGCCAGTGGGCTTCAGAAACAAAACACAAGCTAGAGGGAACCAGTTACACCAAAGGAAAGATTGGTAGCCAGACTAAGGTACCACGTGCGAAGTGTGTAGCGGAGTGTCTCAGTGTGTATTGCGGCGTGTTTAGTTTAGTGACGTCAACTCCCGTTTTCTGTCTGCACACACCAGAAAATGTATGGCAGGCTTAACGCAATACAGATTGTGCGATGGACGGAAAAAAATCAGGACGCAGCGGTCTGGCTGCTGTGTGCATGTCAAGTTGTAAAATATAATGTTGAACGAAAACGCAATTTTTATGTATGGTCTGTATGGAGCCTGTGTGCGAGAGCTCTAAAAGTTGTGATTACATTGTTCAACACATTTTTGTCAAAAAGTTTCAACTTCGGGGCTCAAACGTCACGTTTCATGTGGATCTTGAGGCACTGAGGTTCTTGCTTTTATGAATAATATCTTGTCAGACCCCCTCTAAACGCTGAAGGTAGTTATGCATAACATTATAATAGATCTCTTTTGAGCCTGTGTAGGTTCCCCGAAAGAATAGCCGAATTACCGCGCTAATTATAGATATCACTAGCTCGCTTTGATTATGATTGAACACATTGCTTTCATCCCCACTGTACATTATTATAGAGTTTTTTTATGATTTTAAGAGCGATGTAATGTGCCACCTAGACAGAAAGCTGTCAAATCATAATTTTCGATATAAATGTGTACCCACTGGAGAGTACAACATTTGGTCGCTTTTAAGCACTGGGGGGCTATCCCGAAAAATGCTGTTTTGAGAGAATCAAAGGTAAAGTTTTTGGACTCTTGTTCAGTTTCTTTCAAAGACAAGAAGAGTTTTCTCTATAATCAAACAAATATACACACCAATGAAACTAAAAAATTCTCCTATAGGTAAGGCAATGCCCACTTTTGGCGTAGGTCAAGATTTCTGGAAACCCCCGAAATCTGGGTTAGCCGCATGTCCTGAAAGCGACCAATTATAGATATCGCTAATTTGCTTTGATTGTAATCGAATGCATTATATTCACCCCACTCTGCCCTACTGTAGAATTTGTTATGACTTTAAGCGATGTAATGTGCCGCCTAGACAGTATAGCTGGGCAAAGAATCGATTCCAGAACCGATTCCCCCGACTGATGATAGGGAAGAAAAGTTCCAACTCCTTTTTAAGTAAACCAACGGTTACCAGTTACTTTAATCAATAAAATCTTCTTTTTAAAAAGAATTTATTATTGAAAAAAATGTTAATGCTTCGTAGTGTTCCAAAATCAAGGTTATCCTAAATCCTGAAGATGTTAGGAGCTAACCAGATAACCACCGGAAGGAATCACATCATTAGAAAGTAAGCAATCGGGTTCGGAGTCGATTCCTACGATTCCTAGCTTTCAATAATCGGGAACCTAGCCGCCCAGCACTACTAGACAGAAAGCCGTAAAATCATAATTATCGATATAATAAATCTGTATCAACTGGGACGTAAAACATGTAGCAGTCAGTCAGGATAACAGAATACCGAACTCTTTTAACAGTTTTATCGAAATGTTCTAGGAGACAATAGGTCATTCTTTGATCAAGGGGCTGATTCTTTTATTACGGGTTTATAAAAGGGTTATGAAGATTTTTTGATAGGTATGCAATTAGAGCTTATTAGAGTTTAATTTTCCTTAGAAGTTTTAGGGTCATGTCTGCATTTTATTATATTTTTTCACAGTTGGTCGCTTTTAAGGACAAGCGGGCTAACCCTGATTTTGGGGGCTTCCAGAAATCTTGACCAACACCAAAAGTGAGCCTTGCCCTACCTATAGGAGAAGTTTGGTTTCATTGGTGTGTATATTTGTTTGGTTATAGAGAAAACTCTCCTTGTCTTTTAAAGAAGCTGAAAAAGGGTAAAACACTTTACCTTCGATTTATTCAAAACACCATTTTTCGAGATCGCCCCCTTGTGCTTAAAAGCGACTAATTATAGATATCACTAGTTTGTTTTGATTGTGATCGAATGCCTTATTTTCACCCATCTGTACATTACTTTAGAATTGTTTTAAAGCTATAAAATGTGTCGCCTAGACAGAAAACCGTAAAATCATAATTATCAATATTAACTTGTACCCACTGGAACGTAAAACATTTTACAGAATACAGAACGCTTATCAGTTTTATTGAAATGTTCTAGGAAGTAATAGGTCACGCATTGCTCCAAGGGCTGATTCTATTATTAGAGCTTATTAGATAGAGTTTAATTCTCCTTTGAAGTTTTAGAGTCATGTCTACATTTTATTATATTTTTTCAGAGATATCCTTCTGTAATTTGATTTACGTAAAGCGACTATAGCTGTGTGATCACAGGAGTTGGCATTGTAACATAAACTTGATCGTTACATGATTATTATTCTTACAATTATCATTATCACGATCATTATCATTATTATTATTATTATTATTTTTATTATTATTATTATTATTATTATCATCATCATTATTATTATGATTACTGTTATTATTATTATTATCGTTATTATTATTAAGTTATTATTATTATCATTTTCATTATTATTATTATTATTATCATTATTGTTATTATAACAACTATTATTATTACTAATATTATTTTTTATTATTTTTAATATTATTATTCTTATGAAATGTAAGATGTTTTGGTTGAAGCAAATTACAGACGTCAGCTTATGACGAAATTACGAAAGCGACAGGCAAATTCCATTGGACGCACAATGCGGAAAGAAGCATTGGAGAATATTGTAACAACAGGCAAGTTTGATGGAAAGAGAGGCAGAGGCAGACAGAAGGAAAAGATACTGGACAAGATGACAATATGGCTGGGAGCAGCAAGAACGATAGACACCATCGCTGCAACGCAAGACAGAGTGGAAAGGAGGTCCATGATCGCCCACGCCAGTCGGCAAGGCACCTGATGATGATGATGATGATGTTGATGATGATGATGATGATGATGATGATGATGATTATGTAATAGCCAAACATTATCTAGGCAGGTAGAGAAGAGATTAATGTAAAAAACAGCATGGATATCCCAGATACAACATTTATATTTCCATGGATTTGCTGGAATACGTGTTAAGATAATAATGGTCGTAAACGTTTTACGCGCACTGTCCTTTCGAAGCAAAATTAAGGGAAAGTGGGGGTGGGGGGGGGGTGGGGGAGGCTGGTTTATAAACCTATCTCGGCAACTAGAGATCTGTGGCCTTTTACGATAAAGCCTTATAGCAAGGAGGTATGACAGGAAAACATATGTAAACTGAAACTTTAATTTGTTTTGTTTAAGTCTACAGTTGCCATGGTAACGGCTGCTATATTGAAAATAAACAGCTTAAATAAAAGTAAAAAGGATTTTTTATTACCCAACCAAAAAAGTTCGGAGACCATACATTGACCAAAAATCGGCACAAGATCCCCCCCCCCCCTTAATAACCATATTGGGAGATAGGCTGCTCGACCTTTGCCTCGGTCCCGGCCAGGATTCTGTGGGGTGCATCCAAACAGAGAGATGGACACATGCTTGATGAAATATTTACTCCCCCTGGATACTGATCTGGGACCAGTCACGTGCCAGGAACGTTACACAGGAGACGCAGCTTCACGCTGTTATGCACACTAAAGTAAAGTTGTTCCCGCATCCGATCCGGACATTGGGGATTGTCTTGTTAGTTGTTAGTGAGACAACTTCCTGGGCCTTCGGCATATTGTGGTAGGGTGGCCAGTTCTTTTCCACGCCGCCTTTACTTCCCCAACTCGAAGTCAGGTATACATTACTGCTGGGTGGGCAGGAAGGAGTGAAAAAAATCCATGTCCGAACCGAGGCTCGAACCCGGATTTTCCGCTTCGGAGACGATCGCACTAACCGCTTCGGCACCGCACCCTCACTCTAATGTACAGATGAACATTATCAGCTTTGGACACAAGGAACTATGGTATTGCATTTTATTTTGGTTCCAAGTTTTGTTTGTCGCCTTTTGTGTAGCTGTTAGACGCTTCATAAGATGATAAGATAATACTTTATTATCCCAGAGGGAAATATTTCTTTGCTGTACAGGACCGTAAAAACACATAGAGGTATACATAAAAAATTTAAATTATATATTACTGTCATTAAAATTCAATGTGAAAAGAGAAGTAAAGCTAACAAAATGTACATTCACATCAGATGCATCATTCAACCACATGCAGGAATTTAATTACAAGACCTTTGGAGTTATATATAGATACATACTCTAAAGAGCAACACACATCTATACTCATTCGGACAAAAGCCTTACGCTAAATGGTTAAAAAAAACTTCTTTTATATCTTTCTTTCTTTGTATTTAGAGATAGATATTTGCCGCTGCGTGATCTGACACTTTGTGTGGAAAGGGGGTGTGCTAGGTCGTTTATAATTCTTTAAAAAAAATCTTTTTTATACGTATAGTGTCATACATTTTATCAATTCAGGTAAAATCATATCCAGAGATCTTGCTGACTTTCTTTATGGTTCTGTCAATTTTTTCTTTATCGTTCACCTTACAATTCCCAGCCCACTGTAAGAGCCTCGACGTAGCCACTGAGCAGCGCCGGAAGTAAAAAAAAAAATAAAAGTTGTTGCATGCAGGAGACCCGAGTTCGATTCTCGTCTGGTGAGAATTCTTATCGAGTATCTCGGTCTTTCTGCTGAGATGTTGTATCGCTCTAAGCTCAGGTTGGTCTGAAGTGAAAGGCAGGATCGGAAGCCCGCTTCCAAATTGATATAATTAGTGTCAATGTAGGCGTAAAAATACCTACATTTACCACCATCCCCCCCGCCCCCAAATCCCCCACTCCAAGCCACCAACACCAAATTGTGCGTCTTGCGATGTATTGTTATTCCCAGACAAAACTGAACTAACATTGTGAACGACAAAGGAAATTCTGAAGCAGCGCTAGGTTTGAATTAAATAGAGAACAACAACTATGCGCCATGAATTTTTTGACCGCACTTATCCTCAAACATCTCTTTAACGGGTGAATCAATGTGATCCATGCTTTGCATAGCAGATTCCATCAATTTGTCTTAAGTAAAGTATATGTTTCGAAGATAATTGGAGCTAGAACAAAAAACGTTTCTTCATAAATTTAAGTAAAATACTTTAAATCTCTGACACACGTAAAATGGTATTGTTCACAGCTCTTCCCGCTTCTCACACACATTTTGATTACGCATATGGTCTACGTCACAGCTCATCAATGACACTTTTTACTTGCAAAACTTGTTACAAGAAAGTATTTTTACACTGAACTCATTGTTTGCACTAATGGCTCTCAAAACATACGTTCAATAAGCATGATGTCCCGATTCGAAAAACAAGACGGACTTGCTATTAGAAACAATATGGCCCCAGCTGTAAACATTGAAATTTCTGTAGAAATCACCCACAAGGATTATTTATTAGTATTCATTAAAGGATTTTCTAGAATACAGCTTGCAGGTGTTTACAAAAATGTTGATCTGTTAAGACAAATTGATACTAGCCATTGTGCAAAAATTGGAGAACCTATGTTCGATAGTTGAGGAGATATTTGAAAATAAGTCGCACCACGAATCATTGACCGCACTCTAACAAAGTAAATTGCGTACAATTATGTCTCTTTCCTTACTCTAAACATACGTTCGGCACAACGATCAATGCTATTACATACTTAAATATGGTGCGCAAGTATGTGCGTGACTTTAATTAATCGCTTCAAAGAACACGGGAGTTTTACGTTCAGCGAACGCATATGGAAGAAAAGTGAGGCAGCGTGGTGAAATCAGGCGCTCGTCAAAATACAGAAATCATGGAAATAGGCATTTCTCCGCCAGTCTGGAAATTTTTATCGAATTTCTAATTTTTTTGCTCAAGCTCTTTTGCGTCCATATAAAAACACATTTCCATGTGAAATTTTACTGAAAACATTGATTAAAGGCACAAAATATTATGTCATTTTCTGTTTTCAAGGGCTCTTTAGCTCTTAGTTTTACCAAATTTTGGCCGCCATTTTCTCGCTAATTTCACCACTGAAACCAGGCAACTTCACTTTCCTCAATTGCAAATAACTTGAGTTCTATTCAAGATAGATGGATATTTATTTCACTGGAGGCAAGGCAAATAAATCAGCGTTCAGATGATACCAATAACTCCACATGCCCCAAATATAACGAGCGCCTGCTTCCAACGCCTCGTGGCACAAAGGTTATTTTCCGAAGTCACTGGATCTTGTTCTACTCGACAATGCGTACATGTTTAATGTGTAGTGACCGGTACAGGTATGAGCCCCGTCGTGCCTCGTTAAGTACGCTGTACTGACTTGATAGAGAGCCGTTCGGAGCTTGTTCTGTGGGCAGGGCTGGAGGTGGCAGCAATGAGAGCGGAAAGGTAGGGAAGTCAGTTGGCAGATTTTTAAAGTCGCAGTAAGTTGTTGTTGTTGTTTTGTTGGTGATGGTGTTGTTGTTGTTTTTGTTGTTGTTGTTGTTGTTGTTGTTGATGGTGTTGTTGTTGTTTTTGTTGTTATTATTGTTGTTGTTAGTGTTGGTGTTGTTGTTGTTGTTGTTGTTTTGTTTTGTTGTTGTTTTTTTGTCTACTGTGCACGCAATATCTCAGATGAGGAGATGATGTTGACTTTTACAGATCAAGATCCGAGTATCGTATATTTTTGTTTCTCCAAGTTGTAAAACATGTAATTGTAAGATGCATGTATTTTTGCTTCTGAAATTTTGTGTACTAGAATCTAAACGTTGTTGTAGTTTTAAAAGCTTACTACATGAATTGTTTGATAAGTTTAAGTTACTTAGAAGTGTTCCATGAAGTAGCCAAGTTCCTCAGCATACATTTTTGTTGGTGGACGCAAAAATCAGTTGTCCATATTGCAACTTGATTATATGTGTACCGTGGGTCTTTCTCAAATGCAATACAGGATGAAGGAGATTTTTAATGAAAATATGAGAATGACAAATAATAAACCGGTTTACGTTTTTCCAGGTTAATGTTTTATAACATTCACCAGCCCTATGCGTAAACACTCACATTTCACACACACACACACACACACACACACACATATACAAACACACACACACACACACACATACACGCAAAAACACACACTCACACATACATACACACACAAACACACACACACACTCTCTCTCACACACACACACACACACACACACACAATAATATAAAAAGATTACTATGCCCCGTGCTTTCCTCTCAGGTCGAAGACTGATTAAGGACCATGGTGGATACTTGTTTTGTTTTTAAAAGTAATTTTGAAATTTTTCTTACTTCAGGTTGTGTTTTATCTGAGTTTGCATAATCTTCACGAGGTGGATTCATCTAAAAACATGGACAAGGTAGGTTCTGTTTAACAGTATGGTTCAATTTTGCCACATTATTTTAAAAAAATCCTCAGAAATGAGACTTATGAATTAGAACAACTGTTCATACCAAAGAGAAATAATAATAATAATAATAAAAATAGGCCTGTAGGAACAACAAAATGATGTTATATAGTTTTTGTTTCAGCCAGAAGTCAATTCTAGATTGTTGTGCATTATCATTTCTTGTCAAAGGAGTAAACGGTCAAAGGGGAGAGAGAGAGAGAGAGAGAGAGAGAGAGAGAGAGAGAGAGAGAGAGAGAGAGAGAGAGAGAGCGAGAGAGAGACAGACAGACAGAGATAGAGAGAGAGAGAGAGAGAGAGAGAGAGAGAGAGAGACAGACAGACAGAGATAGAGAGAGAGAGAGAGAGAGAGAGAGAGAGGGAGAGAGAGAGAGAGACAGGGGCAGGGACAGAGACAGAGACAGAGAGAGACAGAGAGACAGAGAGAATTACAGAGACGTAGACTGAGAGAGAAAGAGAGAGAAAGAGAGAGAGGCAGAGAGAGAGAGAGAGAAAGAGAAAGAGAGAAAGAGAGAAAGAGAGAGAGAGAAAGAAAGAAAGAGAGAGAGAGAGAGAGAGAGAGAGAGAGAGAGAGAGAGAGAGAGCTAGAGAAAGAGAGAGAAAGACTAGGGGTGGAGAGGGGAGTGGGGTAGATACATGTGTAATGTGCATACATACTTGATATTAAGATAAAATAAGATAAGATAAGATAAGATGAGATAATACTTTATTATTCCAGAGAAACATTTTTCTTGCTTGTACAGGACCGTAAAAACAAATGCAGGTATACATAAAAATTAAAATTATAATAATACATTACTCTTTAAAAAATTCAATATGAAAAGAGAAGCAAAGCTGACAAAATGTACATATCACATCAGATGCATCATTCAATTGCATGCAGGTAGTTATTTACAAAACCTTTAGTTATATAGATACATACTCGAAGGAGCAATACATATTGATGCTTATTCTGACAATAGCCTTATGCTAGATGGTAAAAAAACAAACATCCTTTATATATTTATTTCCTTGCTTTTAGACGTACATATCTGCCGCTGCGTGATCTTACAATTTGGGTGGTAAGGGGGTGTGATGGGTAGTTTATAATGCTTTTTATCTTTGTTATATATTATGTTTTGTTATAGATTTCATCAACTCTAGTGAAATCATATCCAGAGATCTTGCTGTCGTTCTTAATGGTTCTGTCGAATTTTTCTTTATCTTTCACCCTACAATTCCCAGCCCAGCAGCAAATGCAAAATGTTAATAATAGCACACTTTCAATCATAGAATGGTAGAAAAGGAACATAATCTTATTATCGACTCGAAAACTTCTTAATTTCCTTAAAAGGAACATTGCTTGATTCACTTTTTATGCACAAGAGCAGCTTGGGGATGCCAGTCAAGCTAGTTATAAATTTTTATTCCAAGATACTTGTAAGATCTTACCACCTCCACCTCATCTTAAATAAATAGTGGTTGCAATTGGTCTTTTTTTCCTTTAAAGTCTGTTATTAATTACTGTCTTTTTATAGTAAGTAAAAGGAAGTGGTCGTCACAACAATTTATTGCAAATACGTTTAGAGCGTCAGTGTATTATGCATAAAAATATGTACGTTCATACATATCCTCCCCCACCCCTTTTTTGTTTATATCTACCTCCCACCCCCCACACACCTCCCCCACGCTCACACATCCATAAACCTTTTCAAAATCAGAAAACAAATTCTTTGTCGTATATTGGCCACGTTGTTGCTTTTACAAGTACTGTCAGTTGCTTAGCATCCCTGTTTTATTATTATTAAATATATAAATATATA